ATGATGGTGAGTCCCCGGTAGAGGCCCCAAAGTTCAGCTTCCAAACTCGTGCAACTCCCCAGGTAGCCATGGTAGCCCCACAGCCAAGTTCCCACTTCATCCCGCAGTAGACCACTATATCCAGATTGGCCTGGGTCTCCTCTTGAGCTTCCATCAGTGTTCAATTTCAGTGACCCTGCAAGAGATGCAAACCAAATAGTTAGACGTGGTAATGAGTAATCTGGGTGAATTGGATTTAAGAGAGAATCTTGGATTTCTTGAGCATGTTGGATAATTCTGGCTATGCTAACAGAAGCAGGTTGGTATTGAGCTTCAAACACCTCTTCATTCATATCTTTCCATATGTTCCAAAGGGCAGATAAGAAGACAACTGCCCATTAAATATCCTCCATCATTTGCTTGCTTTTCATATTTGATCTGATCTATTCAGGAAGAGGAATTCTGTCACCTGCTTGCCACCAAGGCAGGCTTTGCAACCTGACCCAGATTAATTTAGCTTTGGGGCAGCCTCTGAGAAGGTGGCTCATGTCCCCCCTAGCAGTTTGACACCTAGAGCAGATGTCAGAATCTGTGAGCTTTCTCTTCAATCTCATCTGGTTGGTTAGCAACCTACCATGCATAGACAACCAAATAAAGCTTCTCAGTCTCTGTGGGGCCTTGAATTTCCAAACCCATTGCCAGTCCAAGTCATGCTCATCCTGCTGGGTAATAGAATTATAGGCAGCAGAAGTAGTGAAGTTGCCATTAGTGGTACCTTGCCAAGTAGGAGTATCCATGTAAGTTACATAGCTAGGCCTAAAAATTTGTAGAATGCTCTATTTTTCTTATTGGGAAATCAGGTTTTGAATAGAGGCCAGATTCCATTGGCCTTTCTCATCTAAGATGGAACTAACAGTTGTAGTGCACTCAATATGAGGGCCCTGGTGATTACTGCACAGTGGTGCTGAACCACACCACCAATCTGACCAAAGTGAGATATTCTCACCATTGCCCACATTCCATTTAATGTTAGCCTTTAACACCTCTTTATTATTAATTATGATCTTCCAAGTGTGGGAAGCTTTTCTCCTGTTAGGCCAATTAAATATGGAGTGGTGACTAAGGTATTTAGATTTGAGAATAGTGCACCAGAGGTTATCAGGCTGGCTAGCAATTTTCCAGCCAAGTTTGGAGATGAGAGCAGCATTCTGGGCCCTAGCTTTCCTAATGCCCAGCCCACCATGCCTTTTACTTTTACAGACTTGGTTCCAGTTGATCAAGTGGACTTGTTTAACAGAATCAGTGCTACCCCAAAGAAAATTTCTATTTAAGTTGTCAATTTTGTCACAAACATGTCTAGGTAATTCCATAGTTTGCATGAGATGGCTGGGTATGACAGAGGTAACAGAGTTCACAAGGGTGAGCCTACCTGCAAGGGACAAATTCTTAGCCTTCCACCCAGATAACCCATTAGTCATTTTACCAATGATGTGAGTGATGTAATTTTTGTTGAGTCTACCATGAAGCAAAGGAGTACCAAGATACCTACCCAAGTCATTGGTAAGAGAAAAGCCACACTGAAAACGAAGGGGAAGGGCATCCCTTCTAGGAATGTTGGGAGAAATAAAGAGCTTGGATTTTTGGAAATTTATTTTCTGCCTAGAAATAACACAAAATTCATTTAGCACTTCCATGATAGCATTGCAATTTCTAGTGTTAGCCCTAGAAAATAAAATAAGATCATCAGCAAAAAAGAGGTGGAAAATAGAGGGGCTATTTCTAGAAGCTTTAAGGCCTTGCCAATCACCACTCTGGGTTTTAGTTCTTATCATGTTAGAAAGATTTTCCATGCAAAGAACAAACAGATAGGGGGAAAGGGGATCTCCCTGTCTAAGTCCTTTCCCAACACTAATGTTTGGGAGGACCTCACCATTCTAAATAATAGATGAATTGACATTAGAAACACAATTCATGATTAGGTTAATCCAGATAGGATTGAGATGAAATTCTTTGAAGGTATGGTGAATGAAGTCCCAGGAGATGCGGTCATAAGCTTTTTCAAGATCTATCTTAAGCACCATGCCTCCAATTCTGCCTTTCTTAGACCTTAGGGTATGAATAATTTCCTGGGTTATGATGATATTATCAGTTGATGATATTATCAGTTGTAGTTCTACCCGGGATAAAACTGCTCTGATTAGGGCTAACTAACTCAGACAGCATGGATCGAAGGCGATTGACAATAATTTTAGTGATGGTCTTATAAGTAACACTGCATGGACTTAACGGTCTAAACTGTTTTAGAATCTCAGGGTTTTCCAACTTGGGGATTAAAACAATCTGAGTTGCATTAACCTCCTTAGGGATGGTCTGGGTGGAAAAACGCTGTTTAACAAAATAGCACATGAATGGACCAACAATATTCCAGTTTTGATGAAAGAAGACAGCTTGTAACCCATCTCTACCAGGTGCTTTGAAGGCTTTAATATTTTTAATGGCATTCCAGATTTCCTGGTTGGTGATGGGGGCTTGGAGATTATCATTATTGTCTTGAGTGAGGCCAGTATGAGTAATACTTCTCCAGTTATCCAACATAGGAGTAGCCTTATGTTGAAACAGATCATTGAAATATTGGTAAATATGGTTTTTGATGGTCATAGAGTTAGAAAGCCAATTTCTAGCATCATTCTTGATCATGTTAATTTTGAGTTTCCTACGCTTATTAAGAGTAGAAATATGAAAGAATTTAGTATTTCGATCTCCCATAGTAAGCCATTTGCCTCGGGATTTTTGAAACCAAATAAGTTCCTCTTGAAAAAGAGTCATGTTGTACTGCTTAATGAGGGTATTTTCAATGAGGTGTGATTATGAGAAAACCTGTGAGTTTGAGATTTTTGAATACCTTCTATACGGGCTAATAGATTACGCTTACGCTTATACACATTCCCAAAGACTTCTTTGTTCCAATTTTTAACATCATGAGTGAAGTCATTAATGGCCTTTATAAGGTTATACTCCATATTGGACCAAGATTTTTTAACATCCGAGAAAAAAGGATGGCACAGCCAAGCTGCTTCAAATCTGAAAGGCCTAGAAGTAGGATTGTGAAGATGCATGCCTTGTGTGAGAACAATGAGTGGGGAGTGGTCGGAATAAGTTCTGGGAAGTGTCCTCATTGTCCCCTCAGGAAATAAGGCTCTCTATTTGTCATTGCTCATAGCTCTATCAAGGCGCTCCATGGTATTAGCCAGTCCATGGCGATTATTAGTCCAATTGAATTTGGGACCGACGCAACCAAGATCAATAAGGTTGCAGTTGTTAATTCACTCAGCAAATTTCGGGGACCGGTTGTGATTGTAATGAGGATAAAAGCTTCTCCTCTCATTGTGGTTAATGTAGTCATTAAAATCGCCCGCAACCAGCCAAGGTTTCTCCATGCTCCTAGCTGTCTCCTCAAGATTATTCCAGAGTTCATCTCTTTGGGATGGGTGAGGGCTTGCATAAACTGCAAATAAAATTCATTCCTCGTAGTCTTCCTTATGAATAGTGGCCTGAATAACTTGGTTTGTAACATTTGAAGCTCGTATGCTAACATGGATAGTGTCCCAGAGTAGCCAGATGCCGCATACTCTTCCTAATGGGTCTACTATTGTTGTAGCAGTAAACCCCATGTTGTTGAAGAAGTTTCCCATGGAACTGAATGGGACTTTGGTTTCCATAAGGATAAGAATCTCCGATTTATGGTTACTGATAAGTTCACGCATGTTGCGCTTAAAGGCACTATTGCCTGCCCCACGGCTAGGGGTGTGCGCGGTGCGGGTCGGTGCGGTTTGAGAGAAAAATAGAAACCGTATGGCGGGTGGCGGATTGATAAAAGTGTCACTAGAATTTGCCATTTTTCTTATCAAAAACCGGCGGTTCGGTTGGCAAATAATGGCGGATTTAATGGTTGAAAATGAAATGTGAGTGTGTTGTGGAATGGTTGCTAATTTTATCAGTATATAGATAATTTTATTTATAAAATGGGAAAAAACTTTTGGCTACTAAATATTTGGTAGCTAAAAATAAAAATAAAATGGAGAAAAACTTTTGGCTACTAAATATTTAGTAGCTAAAATAAAAGTAGACTTTAGGCGACTAAGAATTTTGTAGCTAAAAAAAAATGAAAAAAATAAAAAGATGGAAAAAACCCTTTGGCGACTAAAACTTTGGTCGCCATAGATACTTCAAGTTTTGGCGACCAAAGTTTTAGTAGCAGAAAATAAGATTTTTGGTGACTAAATTTTATTTTAGGCGACTAAAAAAATTAGTCGCCATTTATAGGACTTTTGGCGACCAAAAAAAATTTAGTCGCCAATACCTTCCCCGACAAGTTGTCCACGACCAGTCTAGCGACCAAACTATTTAGTCGGGCAAATCATTTGGCGACTAAAAATTGTACTTTTGGCGACTAAAAATTTAGTCGCCAAATGTGTATTTTGTTGTAGTGACTATTGCCTGCCCCACGGCAGTTCCAAACAAGAATGTTGAGTGAATTCATGGTAGGATATTTAGGGAGGGGGTCAGTGTCCAAACCAGGAAGAATGCACCTGATTCGTCTATGATCTTAATCCCTTGATCTCATGTAGGCCATCTACACAGAGTGGGTTGGAGACTCGGCTCTGCAGCTCCAGCTTGGTTCTATTCGCATCTGTATCTGCTCTATCCACCATACCGTAGCTACGAGGTGAGTTGCTTCTATCCCTTGTTCTAACGACATAATCAATGGATGATTCTCCATCTGGTGGGTAAGCACCTCCAGACCTGTGCCCTCCTCCTTCGCCATGTTTGATTCCCGGATCAGGGGGTTTCCTGTGCTTTGTGGTTGTGGATCCATCACTCTCTAATGGTAAAGGTGCAGAAGTAGGTAGAGAGGGTGTAAGTATTAAAGGTGTTTCAGATGGTGGATCAGCCATCAGGATTTCTGGGGATGTAGAAGCAGTTCCCAACGTACTGGGGTTGTCAGGTATAGAGTGGCTAGTCTAGTTCCTATTGGGTGACTGAGGTAAAGGAACCATTTCTACAGATCTGGGGACAATGGAGGAGTTCTGGATGGGTGGAGTGATGGTGCTTGATGGGTCGGTCTGAGAGACCTTGGCCAGAGTCACAGTTTGTGAAGCAGATGGTCCAGGTTGAGTTTTCTGATATGGGCTAGATGCCTCTTTCTCAAGGCCCAATCTAGTTGTTTTCTTGCCCCTACCCACTTCCTCTACTTGTTGGGTCCCTTTGCTCAATTCTGAAAACTTATTATGAGTTGGGCTTGGTCCAGTGGGCTGGGTTTTTCTATTGATCACAGGCTTACGGGTTCGCTTAGTTACCATCATCCAGAGCCCATATGTGTCATCTCCTTCTACTGCTGATTGTTGCAGATGATCGTTGGCATTGGGGCTAGCCGTTGGCGTTTGAACTTGGTTGCCCTCAATGGTTAGTTGTGATCCTTCTGGCAGAGGATTATTCTGGTGGACAGTTTGAGACTTAAGGTGCAGTGCCTGGTATTTACACAATTCCTTGCGATGATCTACCCTTCCATAGTAGAAGCAAAATGAATGTATGGACTCGTATTCAATGTTATAGCTTTTTTTGCCCAAAAGGAATCTAGGACATAATGGCTTTCGGAGGTCAACTTTAACGCACACCCTTGCAAACCGGCCTCTAGTAGCCATGGCTGTGGTGAGATCTATTTTCAGGGGCTTACCAATCTGCCTAACAATCGTATATAAGACTTTCTCTTAAAAATATTCAATCGGAAGCTCCGGAAACTGCACCCATACTGCAATGGTGGTTTCAAATGCTTTCGATGCCTTAAAATCAGGCTCCCATTTCCTCACAGTGAGATAATGATCCATAATGACCCATGGTCCTCCAGAATAGACATGTGCACCATCCTCCAAAGAGGAGAATTTAAACAGGAAGTAGTTATTACCCAGATCTATAACATTAAATTCCTCTTGTAGGCCCCAGAGGTTCTTAACTCTTGTGCAGAGCATCTTATATCTGATGTTCTTGCCCAATAGTCTGACAATTAGTGTGTTGGCCCAGGGTCTACAAATCTGGTCCAGTAATTTCTTCGGTAGGTGTACTTGCGGAATGCCTTGTTGGGTCAAATGCAAGCTTTCTTCATGGATGGTTGCATCTTCTTCATCTTCTTCCTCATCAGCAGAGAGAGAATCCATGGAGTCATCAAAATAAAAGTCAGCATTCTGTGGTGCTGCCAAAGCTTCCTTGAACGATTTAACCTTCTGGCCCTCAATCGAGACCTCATTAGAGCCTTGCACTTGTACCGGCGTAGGAGGGATACGTGAACTCTCAATTATGTCTATAGTCTCCAAGTGATCTTTGCTCTTGACCTTCTTCATGCTTCTGACCAGATGGTCATCCTCTTTTTGAGTTTTCGTGGGTGAGGCAGAGTTGAAGGATACAGGCTCACTCATTCTCTCTCTAAAACTAAACTCCAAAAGTGGTTTAAAAAGGAATATTTCACACCTCACATTTTTCATTCTCATTCCAAAAATGAATCAAAAAATTGAAAAAATAATCACAAAAGGATATTTACTTAAACTCAAATAGTATCAAATCAAATAAATACAATTTTTCAAAACAAAAAAGACTAATTAGTTCATAAGAAAACTCTTAGAACTAAATGGATCAACATCCTCCCATATAAGATTTATGAGTAAATTTTTCATTAATTTATTAGTCCTAATTAAAAATGGATGAAATGTAATAAAAGAGCTACACCCAAACAATTTAAAAAATTAAAAGGTGTAATTAAATAATAATTTAATTAAAAGATAGACAAAGCTCAGAAGCTTCGCACATGATTTACTCGAGAGTAGTTGAGGTGGTCTACACACTCATTGATCAAGAACTAAGGATTACCATTCTATCACCATCATCATCTCAAGTAAATGAAGAGAGGATGTCAATCCGTTGCGCACATAGTTGTGGTCCTGACGAATTTTACCTACCTGGAGGTTCGGCCTTACACGCAGAGGGGTCCCTCCATAACCACCATGGTTGACGTGAACTTAAAACAGCAACGGTGCCAACACAGGCAGTGGTTGAGACTTTGGAGAGCACACTGGATTTGGCAAAAGCACCCTGACCCCACCCCACCCCCCCACAGGTGCTTATATTTTTCCCTCAATTTCTCTTTCTCACGTATTAAACTATCCTCATACGTCCTACAGAATATAATCCATACGCAACATTCATAATCTCCATGAGATCATTCACAATATATAAGCGTCTCCTGATAAATATAAAGCATCCATATATAAACTGTTTCATACATGAAATGGAAATTCACACAAGTCCAAAATGGAGGCTCATGGAAGCACATCATGCATTTTAATTCCATGCAGATAAAAACAAAGAAAATGATATTATAACTGCAATTGAATATTGCGTACCATGGAGCCGTTTGGTTGGTTGGTTTGGTTGGTTGCTCATTACACAACCGAATGTTTGTTTACAAGAATGATCAACTTAACCAAAATCAAAACCAAAAAAAAAAAAAAAAAAATTGAAAGAAACAACTTTTTGAAAAAGAGAGAGAGACAGAAAGAATACATTCCTCTATTCCTCCATCAAATCTAAAATTTCATACCCCGTTTCTCATAATATTTTCCCTTCAAAAAATATGTGATTATGATATTAACGTTTTAATTTTTTATTTAATTTTTCTTTTTGGGTATTATTATTGGGACTAGGGTTATGTACATCCCAACATAACCTAGGCCTGCATAATCTCAACCGTTGAGATCATTCAATCGAAGTGGGCCCAAGAGCCTCTCCTGCTCAGTAAGAGAATGACGAAAGTGGCAACGGTGGCCGTAAGGACACGTGTCACCAGCGAGAACCATGCGGCAGACCTCAGTTTTGTATCGTGGATGCCTGATCACCGGACGCAGCTCCGTGATTCCATGTGCGAACTGACAGTTTTCGCCGTATGGACACTTGCCCGTCTCCTGCCACTTGTTGCACAGCTCTGTCTTGATCATCCCCTGGTTGTACACCTCGAACTCCAACGCCTCTTCCTCTCTCTTTCCACCAGGCACATACACTCTTTGCTGTTAACACACCTCGAAATTAATCATGAAATCAGAAAAACAGTTCACATGCAAACGAAAGGGTAAATTACAAATAAATCATTTAAATTTGTTTAAATTACGAATTATCTCTTATGATTTACAAATTACAAATATTTTTTTATTAGTATTTTTTTATTTAACAAATTTAACTCAAAAATAAAATTCATAATTCTTCTCTTATAAAATAATAAAATTATCTAAATTATTAATTGAAACATATTTCTAATATCATTAAAAACTAGTAATTGACTTTATGATTTATTAATAAAATGGACGATTTATTATGAAACTAGAAATTTCAAGAATAGAATGTAATTTCTAAAATTATAGAGAACGATTTGTATTTTAATCAAATCTCAGGAGTGTATTTGTAATTTATCCCAAACGAAAAGATATTTGCAATGACTCACTGATTCGTTAAGGACTGGACTTTTGACTCGGTTGCCGCGACTCGGACCGGAGTTGCTTCCACCTCGTTGAGTCATCTTCAGATAACCACTCGAACGAACCGAAATGCTCTTTGGCAACGCAACGCTCTCAACATTCCTTCCATCGAATCGGTTGTGTTCGATGACGCTCGTTGGACTGATATTGGAAGCTTCTTCGGCGACGTGACTGTCACGGACGGTACCTCCAACACTCAGACGATTGAAGTCGTTGATGAACGGCAGAGGTGGATGACTGGAGGAGAGGAGGCAGTTTTGGATTGTGGCCTGGGACAAGAGGCTCAAGCGTTTGATCAAATCTGCGTTGGAAACTCGAAGATTGTCGTTCTCTTCACGAAGTGTGTCGACTTCTTTGAGTGATTCTTGAAGGTGAGCGATGCACATTGCGTAGCGATTGTAGAGTTGCTGGTGCTCTAAGATGGAGCGAGCTTGGTAAAGGCGGTTATCTGTGGCGATTGCATTGGTGGCATCATCGTCGAACGAACAATCGGAAGGCGAAATTGAGAGGGAGTTCGAATTCGGAGGGAACATTGAGGGATAGAAGCCGGTGAAATCGATGTCGTCGGACTGGTTATGAGATGTAGTAGAGAGATGTGGATTGCGAGATAGGTCTGGCGACGAGTCCATGGAGGAGTTGTCATTGTTGTTGTTACCACCACAGACCTCCTCTTTCTGCATTTTACTGCAGTTTCAATGTAAGATAGATGAAAAAGTATCAGATCATAAAATTTTCCGTCATTCGAAATTGAAAACTCAAAACAGGAAAGTCATTTATGATGAACATCAACGTGAATGTTTTTTTCTCTCTCTCTCTCTCTCCCTCCCTCTCTCTCGCTCCACACGCACACACATATACAACATATACACTTGTATATATACATACGTATGAAGTTGCAGAAAGTTCAAGACATGCATGTACACAATGTTTGAAGATCAACTCAAATCAAATCAGAATCAATATTTTGAGAATTTTGGTGATATTTACCACAAAATCAATCAAATCAAGCAGGAATCATCAGAAATTTCAATCAACATTGATAAACAGGGCGATCGGATCCAAGCAATTAACAACAAAATACAAATTCGAGATCAACAAATATTCATAGAAATTTCAAGAGCACGATGATGAATTACAAACTCGCGAACCAGAGAACTATACAGCTATATGATCAACAGCATCAAGAAAGCAAACCTTATCCAGAGACACAAGTTCTGTACTGAGAGAGAGACGGTGACCGGGAGAGAGTTGATCGCAGTTGCCAAATGAAGGAGTTACGCGGGATCATATAAAGACTTGGGGTCAAAATACGGTGTTTCTCGGACCACACTAAATAGGTGGGGCAAATCACTCCTGTCCGTTTGATGTAAATCTTCTACATTTTAATTTATATATCAAGACGTGGAAGTAAGGTGTTGGTTAGAGTTGTGTGGAATTGTGGGGTTGAGACGTAGGTGAAAATTATGAATACGTGGAGACGAAACTTGCTTGACGAGGGGGGACCGTGAGGTGAAAATGAGAAGATATGAAACAGTTAGAGAGAGGGAGATCCCAACAGAACGTCTTAACAACTTGGAACACATGGACAATGACATGGAGGTCTACTGGCTACATACAGTTCTAACTTTGCGGTTAGTTCAATTGTCATAGTCTCTGCCATATTGTGTGTTTCTACTCTACAGTTCTTACCAGGCAATAGTCAGTATTGGAATACATTAGAGTCAGACTTTGTATTTATTTATTTATTTTTAGAATAATATTAGGGATCATGAAAAAAATATCATGAAATGTTTCATGAAAATTTTTCATCTTTTGATTAGTGTATGGTGTTTTCTTGTATCTATAATCTAACGGTGGAGAATCTTTCATGATCATTTTCATGATATTTTTTTTATAATATCTAGCATTACTCTTATTTTTAAGTGAGCATATAAAACTTTGTTTGACTACTTGTTTTTAAAAATTGTAGTCAGAAAAAAAAAATCAAAAAGACCTCAGTTTTTAAGAAATACCCAAAAAGATGGATATTTTCAGATTTTTATGAAGAAAAACAAAATTATAAAAAAAAAACAAACAAACAAACAAACTCTAAAAAATGCAATGGGACAAATGTTCTTTAAAAGAAAAAATGAAGAAGAAGAATTTTAGCATTACTAATATTGGGAATCATGTTAATAAATTCAAAAATACCAAATTAGTAAGCTTTCAATTATTGTAGTTTTTCTTCTTTACATCTGTTTTATTTTGAAAAAGGCTTGCTAACAGAATTTTTATTTTTAGAATTGCTTTTAAAAATGATGTGATGTTTTATTGAAATAACAAGTCATGCGGTAGTTTGGGTAAAAATAAAAAGATGATAAAAGGTTATAGACCTTTAAAAACCCCTATTAAAAAAAAGAAAGAAAGATGGATTCATTATTCCTTTTATTTTGATATGCTTCTTCTTCTTCTTCTTCATTTTTTTTTTTTTGGTCATGCAGTCTTTTTCTTTTGGAAGATGTGTAATTATTTGAAGTTTCTCAAATTTATATATTTCTATTTTTTTTTTTTTTGAACAGACAAATTTATATATTTTTAGTTATTCTGATTTCTAACTTAGATATCAAGTTAGTACTAGCACTAATGTTAAGAATATAAAATAGATTACAAAAGTGCAATGGTAGGTTGAATTTTATCCTAAATATGGATCTCTCAATGATAGAATTTAATCACAACCTTCCATTTCATTTTTTTGTAAATTTTTGTGTGATCCATTTTATATTCCTAGTATTCCTATAGTACTAGATCTACGATATTTGATACCAATCTTTCAAACAACATAACGAGAGTATTTCATTGTGTAGGGTTATAGACAAAATGTCAAATTGAAGGAAAAAAATATAAAAAATAATTAAGGGGAAATGTGATTGAATGCTTGGCAATTAAGGGAGCATGATGAGGTGAAGGAGGTGGTGTTGGATTGAAGTTTTTGTTTCCAATTCATGAGGTGGATTAAGAATAGCTGTTCAAGTTATTTTAGGTAAGCCCCCATAATCATATATAATTAAGTTGCTTCTTTATCACAACTTTAACCAACTCTATGGGACCTCTTGTCCCCATCAAATCTCATATTCCAACTCTCTTGTTATATAACCAACAACCACTTTTTCCAAATTTAATCATTCTTTTATTGAGTTCAATCCCACATTGCCTTTCTTTTTTTGTTTTCTTGTTTTTTTTTTTCCTTTTTTAATGGCTCATTCAATCTATAGCTTATTAAATTTACAATTGAAGTTACATTAATTGAGAATACATGGGATTGATTTATTGCCACACTTTGCCTTTTTCAACCAGGGAAAAATTATTTGAAAAATTTATCAGTTAAACAATTAGAATCAATTTCTTGTCATTTTAATACTTCATGCTTAATGCTAAACAGATATTTTACCCGGGTTTAACAAAATAATTTATATTTGGATTTAAGTTACTTTAAAATTTGAGTTTGAACTATAGACTCCTTAACATGTTTAGTAGGTTGTTCAACTAAGCAAGTCGAGATGAATAGTAAGATATTCAAATTTTGCTTGACAAATTTATGCTTGGCTTAATTAGTTTTCGAGTTAATCTCAAATGAGTTTTAATCAAACCGTATGTTGGTTTTTCAATTATCGAACCAATTCAAAAAATTAACGAGTTCCAAAATGTGTTCGAAATTGGCTTTCATGTTTATATAATGAGTCGATCTCAAATGAGTTTTTAACCAATCAAATATGAGTCAAATTCAAGTAATTCTACAAAATTGGAGTAGCTCTAAACTTCTTGTACGAGTAATGCTATGAAACAGAATTTGTGCAAAAAAAAAAACTCAAATTAATGTGATATGAATTAATTCAAGTTGTTAGTTTTATGATACAAAAGTTGAATTTGAACCACACAAAATCTATGCATGAATTCTGTGCATGTATTTTTAGTGTTGTTTGTAGAAAAGGGTGGTGTGAAGTGGACTGGGGAGAGTGATACGAGCACCAGCTAGGCTATGTTTATTGGCTGGGCTTAGGGGTTCTTTTGGGCCTATATGCCCAACTACCAGAATGAGAAAGTTTAGGGCTTCACTGTTTTTCTTTGAGTCCGGGTGGCCTTCACATTATCAACACATTCAGCCACAAATCTCATCAAACACGCGAGCACATCACTTAGTTTCAATAATTTAAATCGGTTATTTTATAAAAAAATTTGATAATCGTAAACTTTTTTTTAATTATATCGCATTTATCTTAAAAAAATAAATAGTCTATTTTTAAAAAATATACTTGTCTTCTAGTTTTTCAAAAACAAATAAATATGAAAATGTTACAATTATCGAATTAATTTAATTTTATATTATATACAAAAGACATTATAAAATAAACTATTCAAAACGAAAGTGAGTCCTAGGAGCCTAAACAATTCTTGTTAGAAATGGTTTTGAAAATTAGATTTTTTTTTAACTTTGGTCTATTTTTTAGGTAGGACCCATACGTCAAAGTTGGCGGGTCTAAGTGGTAAAGCGTTCTATGCCGCGTTGTGATTCATGTGGTATATTTGGTTACTCAAAATCATTACCGAGTGAATGGGAAATTGAAACCAAAGAGAGCTCCATGAAAATAGTATTTTTGGTGAAATTTCTAAAGGTTTGAATAAAGGCTTGTCCCACATTGATGTGGTAAAAATTTTGAATGGGTTTATAAGGTTTGGGATTGGAACTTTGGGTAGGTCCCAAGGGGCACCCAAGTTTTGTAGAGAGAGAGGTTATGGACAAAGTGGGCTAAACCCATTGGATCCAAAATAAACACAGGCTAGGCTTGGGCGTAGATGTATGGTTGGGCTAGGCTTGTCTGACCCAATACCCATCTTTTTGGGCCAAAAACATTTGAATTTTATTTTCTAAATTTTTTTTTTTTTGAAATTTGAATTTTGAATCAAAATTGGCTCCGGTTTTATTTTCCCCACCCGGACAGATTCAAATCTGTTCAATACATTGTAGACACCCTATTTTGACTGGCCCTAAGACTTGGGCGATTTCTTTTGATTACCCGATGATGACAAGTAGAATGTGTTTCTCACAGAATCCTCAGTAAAAGAGATGGAATTTGAATTTTAATCTCAACATTCACCATTATAGCTAAATTGTTTTAAAATACTAAATATTTCATTAGTTTAGTATTTTTTTAATTTTGCATAATTTTATTCATATTTTTGGTGTTTTTATATAAATTGGTATAAATTATATATTTTATATATATAAAATAAAATAATAAAAAGTTATATTATTATATTATATATTTAGTATTTTGATATAAATTATATATTTTAGATATTTTATATATTATATTATATTTTATATATATATATATATTATAAAAGAAAATAATAAAAAAATCTTTTCATGTCGGTCAGCCGTCTAAATCAAACATAAGGTATATATATATATTATATTATATGCATATAACCATATATTATATAATAATTCTATAATTCTATAATTATATTATTATAATTTGCTTATATAAGGACATAGAGGGAGAGGCTCAGCAAAAGGACGGGGGCTAATCAGAGAGAGAAAAATGAAGTGGTGTGAGAGAGTTTGAGAGAAAAAAAATTAGTTTTTTTTTTAGAGAGAGAGAGGGAAAATAAAATATTTTCTTTGATATTTTTATTTCCTTTTCATCAATACATCATTCAAAAACCAACCACTAAAGCTGTAATTCTAAATTTTAGACTGAATTGAGAACACATTCCACAGACTTGAGAGTAATCAAAAGAAAGTTTGTGATTCAGAAAATTCATCATTTCCCTAAAAGATGAGTTTTCGCAAATTTTCATTTAATTTAAAAATATTATATAATTTGTTTAAATACTTCATTTACTTCTTTTCATAATTTTTTTTTTATCGCTTTAATGGGAAGGCTGCGCCACCCACATATCTGCTGTAATTTAAATATTGTATATAAACTGTTGTAATTTATTACTTTAAATAATTTACCCCACCGGATGAATAGTAACCCTCGGCGGTGAATAGTACCTCCGGCGGTAAATAGTAAAAGTAGTAGGTTTCTCTCAAATTCTTTTGGGGCTATTTTTCAATATCTAAACTATGTGATTTGAAGTTGTAAAAGTGGCGGGGTTAGCCACCCTTCCTTTCACTTGTTTACTAACTTGATCCTATTTAATTTTGCTCGCTTTCTATAGCTTAATTCCAGCACTATTGTATGCTATTTAGGGGGCTGTTTAATTTATTTCAACGATCCGGATGAATAGTAATCCCCGGCGGTGAATAGTACCTCCGGCGGTAAATAGTAAAAGTAGTAGGTTTCTCTCAAATTCTTTTGGG